TCCTCCATCACAACCAATAATTTTAATTCTTTGTGCACTGTTCTTGTAATTTTAATAATTGTATATTGGGGGGAAAGGGATTGTTAGTAATGGAGACTGAGAATCCCATTGCTAGCAATATACCCAACCAGGTCGACCTCCTCGCGGTTCCCCCTGGAAACTATCATGGTTAATTCCTGATGAATCCATCATGATGGGCTAACTGGCCTGTTTTCATTCTCATCTATCACCCTTCACTGGTGCTCCGTCAGCGTATCCCGTTAGTGCAGGCGGGGCTACCATACCATTTTCACCTTCTTATGTTTGTTACTTGTATGTTTTTTTTTTATTGTTTTGTTCGTGTCAGTTTTGTTACTATGTAACTTATGATGACTTAAGAAAATGTTGTGTACATCTGTAATTGGTGTAAATACAAGATGCAAGCCCTGTATATCAATTAAAATTAATGTCTGTATTTACACTGTTGATGTACCTTTTAAAAATAAATAAATAAATAAATGAAACCTATATTACAGATCTGTAAAACTATAGGTGACATACTTATTATTGTCTTAATCACTACACAGTATAAAACAAAGTCGCTGTCGCTCTTTGTTTATCCAAATGTATGCTTAAATCTTTAAAACTACGCAACGGATTTTGAAGCGGTTTTTTTTTAATAGATAGAGTGATTCAAGACGAAGGTTTATATGTATAATACATGCATAATATTGTAGAGAAACACTAATCATTTTAAAGGTTTCTATCATGATGTAATGGAATGTGTACCCGTGCGAAGCCGGGGCGGGTCGCTAGTTAATTACTAAAGTAGTTTATCATCATCCTGAATGTTTAGGCTTATCAACCGACTTCTTAAAAAAGGAGGTTCTCAGTTCGTTTGTATTTTTTTATGTTTGTTACCTCGTAACTCCATCTATTATAAACAGGTTTTGAAAATGCTTTTTTTTAAAGGAAATACTTATAGATTGATCCCATACATATATATGTAAATTTTTATATTGTTGTTGTTAAATATTTACTCGCCTACATAAAGGTAGAATATATACGGACAATGTAAACCTTATTCGTCTAAAAATTATTTACATTCTAGTAAAATAAATACATTTAATTTTATATCATTTCATAGAAATTTTATCAAATTCGGTTTAATAGTTGAGTTTTTAAATCCGGTTATTTTAACTGGTCTTGTTACAAAATATATTTAGTCGAGCCTTATATGCAAGTAGAGCATATAGAGTTCAATTAAATATATTTTTCAAAAACATTATATCACTTACTTAAGAAAAAAAAAAACGATTTTAATTGTGACAAGACCAGTTAAAATAAACGGAATGTAATTTTATCCTAATAATTTTACATAATAAATTAAAATTTTAAGACATATACGTGTGCATAAATACAATATATTTTCTTACAGTAAAATTATTATTAGTTACAGTATGCAGTTTAATTTACGAGTGTTCCGTGGTTGCATAACATCCTACAGATACAGCAATTGCAACGGCCATTGTTCATATTTTAATAGATAATACAATGCCTTCAGGACATTGGAGGCGTATCTCTTAACAAACGATGGTTTCTCTCAGTAGACGGTGGATATATATATACAACTTAGAATGGCAAACAAGCTGACGGTCCACCTGATGGAAAGTGGTAACCGTCGCCTATAGACATGAGCAGTACCATGGACATAACAGACTATACTGTTTCGCCCATGATACCCCCCATGCGTTGCCATTCCTGAGGACTCAGATGTTATTCCTCTGTACCCAGTCAAATTGAAACACAGCCATGCAAACACAGCTGCTTCACGGTTGAAACACGAATGGGACAGAGGTACCCAAGCAATCGACTTTTGTACAAAGTTTCCCTCTGGTAAACACATAGCATGGTTAAAGCAGTTGACAAACACTGTTAAATTATAAATTAAATAAAGAAAGCATATGAATTTAGTAAATAACAATGAAGTACATGTACATAAATAATAAAAATATATACAATATATAAAATATATATTTTTTGACTAAACACATAAAGTGAAATTATAAAATAGCCTTCTGATATTAATTTTAAAAATTGAAACTGTTCTCCTTCAAAATAATATAAGATTGTGTTCTACGAAAAAAATTTACTTCAAAAATTGGTTTATTTTGATTTTAAAACTAAACCACTGAACAGATTTTGATAAAAAAATTATGAGACCAATTTATAAGTATTAAATTAAATTTCAATTTTATTTAAATTATTTTAAATTTCAGTTAAAAAATGAATTTGATAAACGGTTCACAACTGACAGAGTTATAAGGTAAAAATACGTACAAACAATATTTACTTGTTAGAGACAAGCGCCTTTCATCAGGTGAGGTCGTGAACAATATTGGGCCCTTTCAATAGTAAAAAAAACCTTTCTGTGTAGCCATTACTCCTCAGAAGTTGGTCCTCTCCATGATAATTATTCTTTAAAGTACCTAATGTTATTCTTCTTTTCATTTAAGTTTCCTCTTGTCGGTGCAACTAATTCATGCATCTTCTTCCAGCCAGCTCTTTCCCAGGCCATATCTTTAACCTCCTTATACGACATGACATCTAAGTTTCCTTTATCTGTCCCATGTAGTTATTCCTCGGTCTTCCTCTTCCTCTCTTATCCTTTATTTTTCCTTCTACTATGCTCTTTAAAAAATCGTCATTTCGAATAAGGTGGCCCAGCTTTTTTTATTTTCTATTATTGTTCTTCGGGCCTTCTAGTTAGTTTTTTCTTTTTGTTTTTCCCTTCCTATTTTGTCCTCTACTTTTAATTGTACTATGCTCTTGTCATCATTCGTCATGTCGTATAAGGTTAAAATGTAATTAAAATAATTAAATTTCATTGATTTATTAATATTATATCGTGAAACAAAATTTCACATTTTGTTACTCTTCATCGGATTTTGTTTTAATATTTGTGACGTCATAGTTTGTATGAATTATATCATATTTTTTGATTGTACGCAAGTACGCAATACCAGTGCTGGTCTATTGGGCATGAAAACGTTGATCCCGCTGTAACTCAGCACATAAAATAGACGTCGTTTCTAAAACTTTTTAAGCAATATACAGAAAAAAAAAGAATAAATTTTATTATACGGCATGATATTAATAATTTACTATTTTCAACCGACTTTAAAAAGAAGGAAGCTCTGAATTCGGTTGTATTTTTTTATGTTTGTTACCTCATAAATTCTTTTCTTCTGAAAAATATTTTTTTTACCCGAATAGATATACTTACAGATTGGTTTCACAGAAATTATCAATACTGATTTAGTAGATTTGTTTAGAAATCAAAATATCTGGTTTTGTTACATTTGAAGTTTTTTTTTGTGTAACACGACCTTAGTAAGAAAACACAATGTATAACAAGGTAAGTGGACAGACGTCCCGAATTGTTAACTGGGAACAGTTTGTATGGGAAAATGAAAAATGGGGAATTTTACCTTTTTCTAAGAATTTTTTTCCTTCAATGAAAATTATTCGAAAACCTTTTCAGTTTTGAATTATTTGAAAAAATAAATTGCCGAATTGGTCCAGTCATGTCCGACTTGTTTTCTTAGCGAGACATTAAACGATTTTTTTATCATCATCATCATCATCATTTCAGCCATTGTCCGTCTACTGCTGGACATAAGCCTCCCCCATAGACTGCCACTTGCATCCACAGGTCGTCGCTCCATCTAGTGGCGGGTCGTCCTATACTGCGTTTACCCGTACGCGGTCGCCACTACCCTTTCTTGACCAGCCCATTGCCACTTCAGCTTGCTTATCCTTCGGGTTATGTCGATTTCTTTTATAATAGATTAAATATATTTTCCTCGAAACATTGGCAAGAAAACGAGAGATAACAGATGAGAACTATTTGTAGGAATTAATGAGTGGAGGTCGACCAGATGGGATATATTATTAATGAACGCTTGTTTTCCAGTACAATAATCACTTCTCAAAGCAATTTATGCCTATAGTCATCTTCGTATACCGGATATGACGAAATATTTTAGAAATTAATATTAAAATATGGCCGGTGTTTAGACTCTAGAAATTTGTTTAATGACATTATTCACGTTATGAGAGTTTTCCAATGTTTCGTCAGATATTATGTGTTTAATATTTTTGTAATATTTTTGAAAGATTTATATATATATACCTAGATGTTATGTAATGTTTTATGATTAATAAATGCAATTATTATATGAATCTTTGACATTAATCCTTGCTAATATTATGAATGTGAAAGTTAGTTTGTTACCTTATAGCGTTTGAATAGCTTAATTAATCACTTTGAAGTTTGGTATACCCTTACTTTATGGGATAGAGAAGCACATGACTTTTATGCTGGACAGTAAATATATCACGGTCACGCGGACAAAGACACGGGAAATAGTTAGTAATTTTTGTACACTTTTAAACTTAGAACACTTTTGAAAATAGATCTCTCTAAATTACAAGGAGAATATTTGTTTACAATTATGTGGCAATTTTATTATTAATTAAATTAAGCCTTTTATTGTATAATGTGTGAATACTGCAAACTGTTATGTAGTATGAAGTATAAAATTGTTTTAATTTGGCTATGACGTGGTTGGGGGCCTTGAATAAGTCATGCTCACTAAAATGTCCAGATAGGTGGTGGCGTGGTGGGTCGGGTTATTGAGTTCCCTAAAATATGATTGAGCGTTATCATCGTCCACTGTTGAACATAAGCCACTCCCTTCGGGAGTTTTTCCAGCAGTTGCCATGTTTGGCAGGCGGATTGGCAATGGTTGAGTGTAATGATTAATAAATATTACAAACCGGCTGTCAACATCGCAAACACTTTGAGAAGCGTATGCACCGTTGCGCGAGTGTGCAGCCCGTGCACCGTCCACCCGTCTAGTTGCATCTACTGCACACCCACACAAGTGCAGTCGCGCCACGCTCTGCTACCCCCTATATAAGCCTGGCTCAGACTAGCCTTGAACTTCACTCCAGCTCGGCTGCGTGAACCACCCCATCGCTACTCGCAAAGTGCATACAAGTTCGGATAGTGACGTGAGTGAAAATTATGTGTGAAAAGTGTTGGTGCTGAGTAAAATTTACAGAACTGTTACAATGAATATCGTACTGCAAACGGTGAGTTTAATATACCGGGAATGTATCTATATTTATACTTATATACAAATCTTTACCAAAATACAAATCTTTCCTCTTTATAAGAGGCAAGATTTGTATTTTGGTGTGTATGTATGTTTGTAATGAATAAACTCAAAAACTATTTTGCCGTTTTCAAAAATTCTTTCGCCATTAGAAAGCTACATTCACCCTTAGTAAGATAGGCTGTATTTATTGCTAGAAAAGATTAGGGATCCATACTAAAACTTTAGTAACGTAACTCAATGTGTAAAAAAATGCTATAAAATATCTTTGGTCGCGTGCGCTGCGGAAACTATTGGTGATAGAACTAAAGTATGTACTACAATATTGAAGAAAATATCAATAACTACGAAAAATTTCGCGATACTATATGTCCAACTATTATTGTTATGTCACAATAACCACTTTTTAAAATGTTGTAAAAATGTCCTACCGTGCGAAGCCGGGACAGGCCGTTAGTAAATAAATAAATAGCAGCTTAATCAGCAAACATTAATACACTTACAACAAAAATTCATACAAAGTAAAATAACATGTATAGGAGTTGAAGGCAATGTTTGCCGAAATGATTTCCGCTCAGCGTTATGCTGCAGCCGAAGAGCTACAGCGCTGAATTTCAGCGGGAGTTCTTCGGATAGTATTTAATTTAAATTAATATGAAAGTATGTTAACTTACACAATATTATTATTTACATATAAGTCTATATTAATATTATACTCGCAAAGAGGAAATATATGATTGTTTGTTTATTTGCAACGGATAAACACGAAAACTACTCAATCGATGCTATGGAATCAAAATCGAATCGAAACGACTCAATCGAAAAATTCTTTCAGTTTTAGAAAACTATATATATATATTTTTTTTTGATGGGCGAAAATGGTATGTTAACCCCGCCTGCGCTAACGGAATACGCTGGCGGAGCACCAGTGAACGATGATAGATGAGAATGAAAACAGTCCAGTTAGCCCATCATGATGAAAGTTCATCAGGAATTAATCATAATAGTTTCCAGGGGGAACCGCGAGGAGGTCGATCTGGTTGGATATATTGCTAGCAATAGGATTCTCAGTCTCCATTACTAACAATCCCTTTCCCCCAGAAAACTATATTATCAGCAGCAAGCAATATACTGCACTTCAATGAAATTCCATACTCAGTTTATTTTACCATAACCGGCAGAGCGAGATACGAGTATTGTTTTTATCGATTGATTGGTGTGTTTACGAGAAGATCCCATAGATGGCGTTAGTAACATTATCATAATATGTCAATTATTTTCGACTACCATACGGATGACGTCGTGGGCGTAACTTGTACGATTACGTAGCTCGTTGACTGTGTTAGACTCTATGTCACCAGCTTACACAACGATCAGTGGTCAAATCAAAAGAATTTTTATGAGTTAGCGTATCGGTTTCTGCGGTTTAGTAATCTATTAAAATGTGTGTCACATCGTTCCAGTGTTATGGCTGAAATAAGTTATGTATATTTCACACACATTATTTTGATATTCAAATTAGTTATACATAATAATCTAATTTAGTATATTTCCATAGTTTCAAAAACTATCATATTGTTCTAATGCAATGATAGTAATATGGCTGCGAAAACGGGATTAATTGAATGGCAAGCCCGTATGAGTAAACGTAGTGTACGACGACCCCTCACTAGATGGATGCAAGTGGCTCAGGACCGTTCCATATGGCAGTCTATGGGGGAGGCCTATTAGGAGGATAGTTAATTACTCTATTTTCAATCGACTTTCAAAAGGAGTAAGGTCTTAATTCGGTCCTATTTTTTTATGTTTGTTGCCTCATATTTATATCAGTTGTAAACTTAAGAAAATTCTTCTCTTCTCTGAAAAGATATATCACATTGGTCTCATAGAAGTTATATAAACCATAGGTAATAATAATTCAAAGAATTTTGATTAAGAAAAAAAAACTAATTATTTTGATTTAAAAACTAAATTACTGAACCGATATTGATAAAATTTCTATAGGACAGGACTGAAAGTATATCCTTTCTGATAAGAAAATATTATTCCAAATTTGTATATAACTGATGGAGTTATGAGGTAACAATCATCAAAAAATTCTATCGAATAGAAAATTTCCTCCTTTTTTAAAGTCGGTTGAAAATAATACAATAAAATGAAAAAGAAAAACATAATTATTACTACTAATAAATATAACTAGATATGATATGATTAAATTTTTTTTCCTATTTCCGCTGTTTGTTTGTTGGAGTGAACAAACAAAGGAAACAAATAAAAGGAAAAATAACAAATGGCGGATATTTATATTGTAGTAAAAAATATAATACTTTTAATTACAAGTCGTATAATTAACCGACGTCTAGTCCCAGCAAAGAATAAGTCACTTATTTTCCCATAGGTGTCGTAAGAGGCGACTAAGGGAACTTAATAGTTGAGGGACTATTAAGTTGAGGGACAGCAGGATCCCTCTGGAAACATCACCAAAACCCTATTTGCAGTTGCCAACATGCCTGCCAAGACTGCAAACTATTGGCAAAATCCAATGGATGGAACTTAATAGTTGAGGGATGGACAGCAGAGTCCTTCTCAAAACAATCATCAAAAATCTAAATGCGGTTGCCGACTCAGCTGCTAAGTGTGACATCTACTGGCAAAATACCTCTTATGGGAAAAGCTTATTTTTTTTTTACTAACATAGTTTGTAAGAAAATTGTTACTAACAAAATTGGACCGCATTGTAGTCTGGATAATAAAGTATATTATTATTATTTTTTAAATTTCACTAAAATTCTCATCTCCCCTCTTAAGGAGAGGAGATGGCAACTAACCCCCGGCAGAAGCACAGTCGGCCGGGGTTCAGGGCCCCAGGGAGAGAAACCGGCGTACAATGCGGGCAGAATCTAAGAGCACCGCTTTCTGCATCTTTCCCGGGAGTGAGCCGCCTCGGAATCCCAACCGTCTGAGATGTTGTTGCAGACTGGTTGGGATAAGACCGTTCACCGACATAACGATTGGGATGATTTCGGTAGATGTCACCCCCCACAACCTCGTGAGCCAGGTCGAGATATTTTCTCTTCTTCTCGGTTTCGGCTTTCACGAGGTTCTCGTCATGCGGTATGGTGACATCCACCAAAAACACCCTCGAGAGATCCATCACCACGATATCAGGTTTGTTCGCAAGAACGGTCCTGTCCGTGATGAAGGAAGTAGAGCCTTACGCTGTTTTATCGTACTTATAGTACGGCAACCTCTCATTCGCGAGGCCGTACTTCAGAGCTAGCTCTTGATGGAGTATTTTGGCTACCTGGTTGTGTCTGTGCAAGTACTCAGTGTTGGCAAGAGCTGAACAATTATTATTATTATATTAGCAGTGGACAGTTAACAGCTGGCACGGTACGATACGATTAGAATTCAACGTGCCAGGAGATGAGACAGCCGCCTTCTTTAGCTGTTGTTATAAAATGATTTTATCACGACGAGAGTAAAGTATTGTAGTGTAAAAATACTTAATTATGACGACCGACCACGTATATTGTATGTGCGTACATAAATTTACGATGCAGTTAATTACTCCAGACAAAAGTGAAAACTGCATTACGAATCGAGATCGGAATTTAGTTTGAAATAGTTTCTTTCATATTTATTATTAATTGGGTTTAAAATTGCCTTTCTTAAACTGAGATGCGTGGGAATAAATCATCATATCATTTATTTATTTATTCATAGGAAAACCAGGGCTACACTTGAGCAAAAAGATACAGTTTAGGATCACAAAATAAGCCACTAATAGGTTTTCACAAGTAGCAACAATATAGATACAAGGCGTTGTACACAAAGCAACAAAAATAGGAGTTAACAAAAAGAATGGTTCTTCTCAGTAGATAACATTCTGAATCTATCAGCACAGTTGAATTGTAAAACAATTACGATTTAAAAGAGCTTGTAAAAAAGTCTATTTGAATAAAGATGATATCCATTCTTCTGTTCTATTCTTCTTCTTAACTCATAGTTAATTATTGTATATATAAAGTTTCTAAACATAATGTACAATAATTTAATTAATAATAATTATATGAGAGAGGGAGACTTTGTACAAAAGTCGATTGCTTGGGTACCTCTGTCCCATTCGTGTTTTAACCATGAAGCAGTTGTGTTTGCATGGCTATGTTTCGGTTTGAAGGGTGGGATATGGCGTGAATTTACTGGGTACAGAGGAATAACACCTGAGGCCTCAGGAATAGCAACGCATGGGGGGTATCATGGGCGAAACAGTATACTCTGTTATGTCCATGGTACTGCTCATGTCTTTAGGCGACGGATTTTTTTTTTTAATGGGTGATAATGGAATGGTAACCCCACCCGCGCTATTGCTATACACCGGCGGGGCACCAGTGATGGATGATAGATGAGGATGAAGCAGGTCAGTTAGCCCATCGTGACGAATTCAACAAGAATTGTTCACGATGATTTCCAGGGGGAACCACGTGGAGGTCGACCTGATAGGGCATATTGCTAGCAATGTCGAACTCCATTGCCAACAATCCCTTTCCCCTCTATAGGCGACGGTTACCACTTTCTATCAAGTGAGTCGTCAGCTTGTTTGCCATTCTAAGTTGTATGTATAAAAAAAAAACGATTTTATTTGAAAAAGGACGTATTAAGGTTTTTTAATTGTCAGCAACGCGCGCATGTTATCCTTGCTGTTGGTATGGTAACTGTTTACCATCAGACAGCCTGTATGCTTGTTTGCCATTTGAGTAATATAAAAAATACCTATATTATAACTACATACTACTTTTTTTTTGATGGGTGAAAATGGTATGGTAACCCCGCCTGCGCTAACGGGATACGCTGGCGGAGCACCAGTGAAAGGTGATAGATGAGAATGAAAACAGGCCAGTTAGCCCATCATGACAAATTCATCAGGAATTAACCATGATAGTTTCCAGGGGGAACCGCGAGGAGGTCAACCTGGTT